TGCGGTATGGAGGTGGTTGTTGTATGTAAACTCAGCAATGGAGAGCCAGTCTGCCCAGTCATCTTGTCGATGATTTATAAAAACGCGGAGGTAATGCTCTAGATCCTGGTTGATCCGTTCGGATTGTCCGTCTGTTTGAGGGTGATAGCCTGTAGAGAGGCCTGGTGTTATCCCCATTAGGTCGTAGAAGTCTTTTGTGAATCGAGACATGAATTGAGGACCTCGATCAGAGACGATCTTTTCAGGAATTCCGTGGAGTCGTATTACATTATCTCGGAGTTGACGTGCATAACCGGCCGAGTCGAGAGTGACGAAGGTGGGGACGAAATGGGCCATTTTACTAAATCGGTCAACAAAGACCTGAACGGCGGTGTAGCCCTTGGATTCCGGTAATGCGCCTATGAGATCGGTGGTGATAACCTGCCAAGGCCGATCTGGTATCGGGTTCGGGTGTAGAGGGGCGTTAGTCTTTGTCCGATGTGCCTTGGTGCGTTGACAACTCTCGCATCCTCGTACATACCGTCTGATATCTGTACGAAGACTCGGCCACCAGAGCTCTCGGTTTACTCGTTCAAACATTGTTCTTTCTCCTGGGTGCCCGGCTAGGGCTTCGTCGTGATGATCTTTCAATATTCGTGCCCTTAGTTCGTGATTTCGGGGAACGTATACTCGGTCAGCTAAAGGGATCGGGTAGGAACTCGTCGCGGACTCTCTCTTAATCCAGACGATCCTATCCTTCATCTTCCAGGTATCCGGTTTCTCTTTCAAGTTCTTCCTTACTACGTCGTCTTGTTTCTGGAAGCTTTGACGTATATCTGGTAGGTATCCTTCGTTGGTGTCAAGTAATTCGAAATGTACGTCTGGGAGAAGTATCTGATCTTCGTTATCGTTTGTGCCTTTAGGATGATCGATCCGTCTGCTTAACAGGTCGGCCTTCGTATTCTGATTTCCTTTGACGTGTTCCATCTTAAAATTATAATCTGCAAGCTGGGATGACCATCGAGCTTGGCGTCGATTGTATTTCTGCGGTTGACGGAAGTAGAGGAGGTTTTGGTGATCTGTGAAGATGGTGAAGGGGTGTTTCGATCCTACAAGGTGATGTCGCCATTCATCTAACGCCGTCATGACTGCGAGCATCTCTTTGTCGTAAATTTCATAGTTCCGTTCTGCAGGGGTAAGGGCTTTCGAGAGGAACGCTATGGGTCTGAATTTGTCGTTTTGTTTCTGGGATAGGACGGCTCCTACAGCGAAGTCAGAGGCGTCGGTTTCTAGTTTGAATGGGTCTTCGTCGTTTGGTATAGCAAGGGTGGGGGCAGTAGTAAGCGTTTTCTTCAACGTTTCAAAGGACGTCTCTTGTTCGTCTTTCCAGGTCCAGTCAACTTTTCCAGTGAGCACAGTGAGTGGTTTCGCAATTCGTCCGTAGTCTTTAACAAATCGTCGATAGAAATTGGAGAACCCTAAGAATGATTGGAGTTCCCTTTTGTTCTTTGGTGCGGGCCAGTCAGCGACCGCTGCGACTTTTAACGGATCCATACGGATAGTGTCTTTGGAGATGATCATGCCTAAGTACTCGACTTCCTGTTTCTCGAATTCGCACTTCTCTGGTTTAAGATACAACTGATTTTGTTGCAGGATACGGAGGACTTTGGTGACTATTTGACGATGTTCTTCGAGTGTTTCCGTGAAGATCATAATATCGTCTAAATATACAATAACTTTTCCTTCCGTGATCAGTTCTCTTAGGAGGTGGTCCATCATGGTCTGGAAGGTTGCTGGCGAGTTGGTAAGTCCGAAAAACATGACGAGGGGTTCGAACAGGCCGCGATTGGTCCTGAAAGCGGCCTTGTGTTCGTCTCCTTCTTGGATTCGGACGTTGTTGTATCCCCATCGTACGTCTAGTTTTGTGAAGTAATTGGCACCTTTGAGTTTATCGATAAGTTCGGATATGAGGGGGAGGGTGTAGCGATTCTTTATGGTAAGCTCATTCAGCTTGCGATAATCTTGGACAGGGCGTAGTGAGCCATCTTTCTTTTTGATAAAGAAGAATGGTGATGCGTAAGGTGATTTGGATACTCGAATCCGTCCACTTGTTAGATTTTCGTTAAGGAATTCGTCTAGATGGTGTTGTTCGTCTCGGCTAAGAGGGTACGTTTTACAGTCAAGACCATTAGCTTCGGGTATTAACTCGATTGCATGGTCCCAAGGACGTTTCGGGGGAAGTTTGTCGAATGATTCTTTGGTGAAAACGGGTTCGAATTCATGGTAGATTGGAGGAACGACATCTCGGAAAGTAAGCTTTGACTTTGCCTTTTCGGAGGATTCGGCGATTTGTTGACTTTTAGTGGCGAATGCGTTCAATTCTAGCTGTGTTATCTCCATAATTCGTGTTTCAAGATCGACGGCTAGAACTTTATCCCCTTCTTCAGGATGATACTCCGGATCATCAGCAGGGAAGGTAATCTTGTTGGTCCGCCAATCAATTGTTGGATTCGTCAGTATCAACCAGTCGTATCCAAGCAGTATGCGTGGTGAAAGTAGAGATGCTACGATGACATCTATCAAATGTTCTTTCCCTTTCACATTGATGTGAAGAGTGACATAGTGTGTTACTTTCTGGGATCGACCATCGGCTCCTGCAGCGTCAAGAGGGATGGGCAGAGGCGTAGTATTGAGGGTATACTTGTCAACCAGGCTTCGATCGATAACCGAGTTGGTGCAACCAGAGTCGATAAGGGTTGGGACGGTGAATGTCTGTCTGTCGTCTATGGTAGTGACTTGAGAAATGACGTGGAGGCTTCGTTTTGACGTAGGGTTGTGCGACGAGGTGTAAGCATGGATGCGTTCTATAATGTTCTCTTCGTCGTGGTTCTTTAGCATCTGTATCGCCTGCAGGGTGATATGCTCGTAGTGATCTTTATGGGCCCAGTTTCGTAACAGAGCTCTTGCTCTTTCTGGTTTCTGGTCTTTGATTCGTCTGGCCAACCATTCCGGTGAATGTGGCTTTGCGTAGGTTTCGGTTACAGCACGTAGATGTTGATCAACTCGTTTCATTGCAGTCGTTGGTAATATACGAGGGTTAATTACAACATTTCGGGTCAGAGAGTCCGTGCTTACTCCTGACCTTTCTGAAAATCCTTCGGGGGTGCTTCGATTTCTTTTAATGACGATGTAGTGGGAGTGTCTTTGGTTTCCTCCGTTTCCATATATCGTATTGCCATCTTTCCATGTGGGCAATTTCTAGCAATGTGGCCTCGTTCGCCACAGTTGTAACAAGTAACATTCGGGTTGGGCCGATGTTGTCTCTGCGTGTTGGAACTCCCAATCTCCATAGGTACACCTGATCCTCCAAACGTTCCTGCTGTGTTTGGATGGACTGCATTCTGGGGCGGTGGTCTATGAGATGGAGTATAATACGGTCGCTGTTGGATATACTGTGGTCTTCGCGTCTCTGTTCGCGGTACTGTCTGTCGATACTGTGGCGGAGGGTAGTCTCGGTTCTGCTGATAGCGTGGTTGATATCGTTGGTACTGAGTTGGCAGCCTCTGTTGAAGTGGTTTATCTCTCCTCCTTTCCAGGTTAAGCTCTTCATTTCGCTGTTCCCATTTCCTTGCTGCTGCCTTCCACTCTAAGTACGTGGTGGGTAGGTTTTCCTGTTGCGAGATACGATCACGAAGGAATTGAGAGAGGTTGCGGCGAAGGATACTGTGAATGAACGGATAACTTTCATCTGCGTCTGGTGGTAATCCTGCTTCCATGAGTTTGGATTCGAGTCCTCCAAAATATGCGTCTACCGTCATCTCTCGCTGTTCGTAATTGTGAAGGGCAATCTCTGCTTTCAACTTGAGATGGGGGTCCAAGAATTCGTTATCTAACTCCTTGATGAATTCTGAGATAGTTCCCCAATTTCGCGGTGCAAATAGGTCTCCTAGCACTGCGGTTTTGTTGTTGAAATTCGCCTTCCATGTATGACAGGCGTCATTGGCTTTATCGGACGAGATCCGGGATAGTGCAAAGAGGATTTTGGAGGAGTTGGTTTGGAAACTTCTGGGATAGGCGAAAAAGTAGTTTGCTAAGGCGTTCTTCCAGTCAACGTATGTTTCCTTTTTACCGATGAATTCGAATGGAGGAGTGGCAAGGACAGCTTTACTTCCTTGATTTGTTTCGTCGGCCATTGCGGCTGCTAGATCAGGTTCAAGGTCCAAAGATTCCTGATCGAACCAATCGTCGGGTTGGTTTTCGGGTTCTGGAGTTGGAGGTGGGGGAGGAAAGTTTTCTGGTCCTGCTGATTGATACAGATCGTCTGGTTCTAGAGCTTCAGCAGCAGCTCCTAGAGATTGTGGGGGAGGTGTGTCGGGAGTGACCAGAGGACGGGGTTCTCGATAGGGCTCCAGTTTTTCAACGGGTTAGATAACGGGTTTTTTAGATAACAAGTCTTTCTAGATAACTAGTCTCTTTTTTATTTACTCGAAGTCTGGGTCAAACGTAAAATTACTAGGGAAGTCTCCTCCTTCTGCTTCTCGGGGTCTCCAGTATTCTACGCTTTGAGTAGATTCTTCACTTTCCGACTCGGTTTCGCTGCTAGATTCTCCCCCGAGTATATCTGTTAATGAACTCCCTGTTTCTCGTTCTATCCTTTCTGCACAAGGTGCAAAAAGTTGTTCAACCGACGGGATGAGCGGTGCTTCTCCTCTCTGACCTTGGTAGGTGTAAGAGTATTGCGAATAGATACGAGTTCGTGAGCTATGGTTGATAACGGCCCAGAAATCGCTTTGGAGTACTGTAACAATGAAACGTTCGGGGTGATCAGATTGTTGGTTAACAACAAATGGAGTGAGGATTTCTAGGATCCAGTAATATTTGTCGACGTATTCTGAAACGTGTCGAATGTTATCGATTTCGGTCGTGTAGTCTTCTCCGTCACGGGATTTCCTCTGAGCAGTCGCGATGAGTTGATCAAATCGTGCTAACGCAGCAACAACTCGTCGAATGTGATCTTTAGTAGAGGGCGTGACGATTATAATAGAAGTGCTGTGTTGAAGACCAAACCGCGGTCCGAATGCGTCAAGATCTTGGACTTCAGGGAGGTAGAGAGTTCGGCGAAGTCGTGTCAGATATTGGACAATAGAGAGGTGGTCCAGATGATTGCTGATGCAGAAGTACTGGATGGGTTGGTAACTGACAGGAGAGGCGGAATAGGTGTCGTAATAGTCAGATGTAAAAAATGAGGACGGGATATCGTAGGTAGGTTCCTCGTTAGGCCTCTTTCTTAACACAATGCCGCAAAGCAAGGTGTGTTCGAAGTCGTAAGGGAGGAGGCGGCTGGGTATGTCTGGAAAAACAAGAGGGCGGATTCGATAAAGATCGAGGAGATCTGGGATGTGGCTCTGCGAAATAAGTTGCAGGTTTCGTTCTTGTACGTTGGCTATTCCTTTCAAAAGCTTAACCCTCTGAGTGTTCTCGTAACTCGGGCGTACTAGGCTCTCGAAGTAGTCTATCAACGGAATTTGTTCGTGCCGCAGGGATATGAAGATTAAAAGTTCTCTCCGTGCTCTGTCGGAGATGTTGGAGTATCTCCTCGAGACTGCGAGAATTTCTCCTACAGATGGCGGAATGGTAAAAGATGGATTGGGTGAGAGCGAGTGCGTCGTTTATGTCGAGGATGATATCCTCGATCGGATCAATTGGTGAAGACGAAGCAGAGGAGTCTTGATACAACTCAGTGATCTGTTCGACCGTTCCTTCCACGTCTGGAGTACGGGCTTCGGTAGGGGCGGGGAGGACCGGGAGCGGTTTGTTGAGAGCTGCGAGGAAATCTCTCTGGTGTCTGCGGTCCGCTTCTGATACCCACTCTTCTGAGAGCTGTTGGGAGGTAGACACGATGGAGGTATACAACGTCGCTGACGAGTCCGGTTTGTAGGTATCTGATGATGGCAAAGAACGCAAAGAATTGGACGAGAGCGGTGATGGTAGAGAAGGCGTCCAGTTTGGGAAGACTGAACGACAATAGGTGTAATGGGGTGGATAGTGAGAGGTCGATGACGATAGTGAGGAGAGGGATAGGGATGGTAGAGAGGTGGAGAAGGTGATGATGAAGGTTTAGACCGGTGCAGTGGCAACGACAGTCTTTTTCAGGGTGTAAGGAAACGGTTTTCCAAAGAGGGGCTCTGGAAAAGGATTCGAGGTAGGTGAGTTCAATATTTTGTCAGGCAACAAATACGAAGCTATATAACAAAGCCCAATGTCTGGTCAAGTCCTTCCTTGAAGGCGGTGAATCAGAGTATGAGAATGAAGAGTATCGGTAAGAGCGCAAATCCAAACTAATATTGAACTGGAGAACAATACATCAAGTATGTACTTCTCTATATAGTGAACGACGATGGTCAGACCGAGAAAGGGAAGTACTGAGAAAGTGGTCTGACCAGCTAGCTAACCAATAAGAATAAAAGGAAGAAAGTGGTCCGATCTATCGTTTTTACTAATCGTATGAGAAAGCGTATTGGTAAGGGATGTACGATTGGCTGTATCAGTAAGCCCATGAGAAGGCGCTGACTCACAACCTTCTTCGCTTATCAATATTCCTCCGAAGTATTCCCAGACATAGCACTGGATCGTGACTATGTCATCTGGATATCCTCTCGAGGGTCGACAACAAGTCTACCTCGTTGTAGGTACGATAGAACGTGAGTGTGAAGAGAGAATAAGAAGAAGAATGATAAAAGTAATAAGACACCTGCTGTAATCTCTAGTCCAAGGGCAAGAGGAGTGACGGGGATTGAGTCTGCTAACCACGACATGACGGGAATGCGATAAGAAAAATCGATTCCTCACAACTCTGGCTTCAAATATTGTTGTTCGTCAGGGCCTCTTTGGACAGTGTGGATGAGTCATTCATCTCCCAACTCAAAAAGCCTTGGATTGATAACTGGTATCGGTATGTGGTTTTTGTTTCATGTTTCTGAGAACCAGGCTCACTTAGAGGACTCGAAGGTCCAGGAATAGGCTTGTGGTGCCTTCAACCGCCTGAGCAACTGAACAAGGCGGTACAAATTGTTCTCTGTATCCCCTTGCAAGTGTTTGCTCATTCATGGATTTTAACCAGTCAATGCTGTTTACTGATTGATGGCTGTTTTTGACTTGGCTGTTTGATATCTTGATTTTCCCTGGTTGTTTGTGCACTGGGGCAAGTAGCCCATGACTTTCTTGGGCCTTCCTCCAAGTCTAGGCATGGAGTCTTGGCATTTATTCTCTTGGAGTGTTGGCAATGGGAGAATGGGGGAAAGCATATATTTGAGACTACAGTTTGACTTATATTATTCTGGTCGAATCTCCTATACTACACTGAGGTCATACTTGATAAGGAAAGAATAATGACAGTGGTATTATTGCGCCATTACATGTGCCGATTATTTTGGTATTATCAGAAGTAAGGCTGAAATAATCTGACAGCATTTATTTCAGCATTTTTTTGGTACCATATGATATTTTCACGGTATAATCCCATTGTATTTTTAGTCCTCAAAGTGCAGTGTATTGACTAGCCAAACAAAGCAAGGCGCTAGCAGGCTTAACTGATTTCACTGATGCGGAAGTACATGTTGTTTGTTGTCTCGTTAACATGAAATACGTATGGCTGGACGTCGATCCCGTGAGTTTTACACTAGGGGACGAACGATACAGGTTTAGTTGACATCCAACTCGCAAGGGACATGATGATGCTACAGCCATCATGATGGCCATCCATTGCCCGAACATACAACTCCTGGGTGTATCAACAGTAAAGCAGTATTCTGGGCAGTTACAAGTATGACTTACTCGTTTTGCATACGGCCTTAATTAGGTTCATGGCAACGCTTCTGCTGAATGCACTGCGAAGAATGCAGCTAGGTGCCTCCATGCATTCGGCGCATCAAACGACGTGCTCGTTTATCCTGGTGCCGTAAAGCCTCTGATTCGAGAGGCAAGACATGATCCAGATATTCACGGTGAAAATGGCCTAGGAGGCGTGCAAGGGCTTACTCCATCCGATGATCCCAAGGCAACAGCGAGAATTGCCAAAGATGTGGATGGTTTGCCGGTTAATGCTTTAGAGGCTATGGCAAAGTCAATCAAGCAAATATGGAAGAAGGGTACAGGCCATCAGGCCACTATCGTGTCGTGTGGACCCATGACAAACGTCGCTCTTTTTGTTAGCGTATACCCGGAATTACTGGTCGCCGTTGAGCAGTTTGTTTTTATGGGTGGAGGTGTCGGTCTTGGCAACCGATCCGCTGTAGCAGGTATGGTCCAACAGTCTTAGGTCCATCATCTTATCATTTATAATTCACCGAACTTCATCTTTGGTAGAATTCAATATACTATGTGATCGTATGTATGGTTTTCGCAATCATGTCATGTGCCTCACATATTCATACAGCTGAGGCCGCTCAAATCGTGCTGAATGTACCTGTAAAGAAAGTTATGATACCGATCAACGTAACACATACTGCGATCGTGAACAGGGAGGTGCACTCATGCTTACGATCGCCCACCGCCACATCACCCGAAAACGATAACGTGCTTCCCCATCCATCTACTAATCTTCGTCATACTCTTTCGACCCTCATTAGTTTCTTTGCCGATACCTACAAGTCTACATTTGGCTTCGACGAAGGTCCTCCTCTCCATGATGCTCTAACCATCGGCTATGTTTCGAATCCGGAACTTTTTGCGTGCGAGCGTTACCGAGTGGACGTAGAGTTGAATGGTGCCATAACCGCCGGTGAGACGGTCGTTGACCTCTGGAATTACCGTTCATGTGACGAATCGTGGGGACCGAGCGGAAAGAACTCTCTCGTCGCCCAATACGTTAATGTACTAGCTTTTCCCTCGACTCAATGCAACAAGTACTTAAATTATATGACTTGTCAGGTGGATCAATTCTTCGCTCTCTTCTTGGAATGCGTAGCGCAGTGTGATGAAGTATCTCCGTTGAATAAATGCTAGCAGGAACAAAACGGCTAAAGAACTCAACGCATCAGTAATATCGAGGGAATGACTTAGATTCATTCAGTACATCCCGGAGTTGTAGAATAATACAACATGTAAACGTATAAGAACTGGGTTATCAAAAATTAGGTTGTGAAGTGTCCTCATTACTCGTTAAATACACGACTTTCAGGCCTGCCGTCAAGGAATATTTTGCTTGCTCTAGCAATGGACCTCGCGGGCCGGGCTCTTCTTGTTCTGCCCTCTTTAAGGGTACGAATTGCTTCGTCGAGATCTCCTCGTCCAACGGACTTCTGTGCTGTAGCACGAGCTTGTGGATCAGAAGGAATTGGTACTAGTAAGTTTGTGGAGGTCTCTTGTACGCCCTTTATCGTCTACAAGGACAATTAGTATGCATAAGAAATACCATTGGATATGGTAACAAACCGGTAGATTCCCCGACTGTGTTGGCTCTCGTATAATGGGTTTGGATGCCATTGCTTGCAGTTTCTCCTCGGCATCATGAATTTCCAGTGCAGCTTTCTACAAGATATGACAAGGAATAAGTAATGTAGACTGTTATCAGCGGTCACTATATTACCTGTAGTGAAGACGAAAAGGAGCATATTAACCCAAAGAAATCTTCTGGTTTGGGTCCCTCGGGCGAATCCAAAGATTCACCATAATAGGAAAATAGTGACCGAAGATCAGTATCGACTACTGCTGACATCTTCTGGAGTGCATCAACTGTTCCACCCATCTTTTCGACGAAGGGCTGAAATTTTGATCAGCACATGGGTTTGGCGACAAAAGCTGACTCAACCTACCTGCATAACTTTCACAAACGAATCATTCGCTGAAGGGGCGCGTAACTGCTTGAGAAGCATGACCTCTTCCTTCACCTGTCCGAGAGAAACAACTATAGACTGCACGGACTGAGCAACAGTCTGGAACGAAACTGGTAGAAATATGTCAGAACACAGAACCACTTGAATGTACATGACACTTGCTTCGAGCGGCAGGTTCCACACTAGGTAGTTCATCGATAAACATAGTAAGCGAGGGATCTGCGCGCATGAGAACTCGAGCCAGGTAATGCAAGAGAGTGGGACAGTCAAGTCCGCCCTTGGCGGTCTTTGTTTCTTTCATCTGTAATCAATATTAGAGCCTGATCGAAGGCTATTTGGACGTAGTTACCTTGAGCAAGGCTTCAAGTCGGAAGCCGCGAGCTCCTCCGCGGAAAGTCGATCCATTTAATGCATTCCCCACAGTTAATACAACCTTCAAAACGAATTGAAGAGATTAAATCTATGTTTAACCAAGTCTAAAGGATATTGTTATGCACCTGTAAAACTCGCCTGAAGCGTTTCGAAGATCGTAACTCGCGCGAAGCATCACGCAACGCTTTCAGGTCTGGTCGGATCTCCTCTATATCCAGTTCGAGCTTCCGACGGTATAACATACAATTCAGCCGTTGTGTTAGCCTTGGTATTACCATGATCTGTTTCGTGTTAGCAACATTTTAATTATTGACGTAAGACGCTTCACCTGACTAAAGTACTGATCAGCTTTAGCGAGCTTGCTGGCATCTTGGAAGTCTTGTATTCGAGTGATCTAGGCCAAGTCAGCACATGCACATTATAGGTAGTAGAAATAAGATAATTGACCTCCTCTGCAGTCGGAAGTTGCTTGCTGATTACTTTCAAATCATCGACAGAGAGTTTGTTGTCATCTAAGTCTAGAAGAGCTTGCCGAATTTCAGGGAAGCTCAATTTGATCCTTGAAAGCATGATCGCTGCACAGCATCAGCGATACAACGATTAGTCTGCTAAAAGCAAACAGGCATACCAATGTTATTCGCACGGGTAATATCTAGAAGTGTGGTTACATTCTGCCGCTTGGTGGGACTCAGCAACATCTGTGATGGCGTTGATGATGGTGTATTATCCAGAGTAAAGGTGGCTTCAAGATCCTCCAATTTGAACTCCATAGTTGCAGATACTTCATTCCAAATGGTGGATGCTAGTTCTCTGTTGTCAATTTTATTCCAGAAAAATGGCTTTAGACGCTTCGTAGGTCGAGACACTGCTGTTTTTCCTTTTGAAACAGGAAAAGGTGGAGGTGGAGGTGGCCCCAAGCCAGAGGAGCGGTGGTGGGGGTGGTGACCACCATCTGTTGCCGAAGTA